ATAGTGTACAATTTTAAAAATTAAAATTATATAACTTGTTTTATTTTAAAATCTATCTTTGTAAGTTATAGTATTTTAGCTATATATTTTAAAATAATAATTTTATTTGTATACTATATGTACTGTTAAATTTTTCGGATTAGTATTGAGAGTTATCAGATTTTAAAACCCTATAAACTATTAGATTAATGGACTTGATAAAGAATTTTTTTTTTTTTTTATTAATATAATGCCATAGTAGAAACTTTATTACAAAAAACCTAAATTAATCTAAAGATTAATAAGGATCACTATAACTAAGGGGCTTACAAAGATAAGTACATGATTATAATAATGAAGGCTTTGCCTTTACAACATTTTCTATTTTAACTATTTCTAATTGATTCTTGATTCTTGTTTTCTTCTCTTTAGATCTTCATTTGTTCTTTTAGGAATTCTTCTTCGGATTTCACGTAGGTTATCATTTCCGTTATTTAGCCGGTAAGCCTCATGTACTAGTCGATCTGGAATTTCTGCTTAAAGTCATGAGTTTGCTGCGCCAATTCGTCGATCTTCCTTTTAGCCCGTGACAATTGTTTTCTAATCTTTTGTGGATCAAATATAACGGTATAGAAGAATGTTTTATGATCTAAATCTTCCCTATCGTGCTCAACATGATTTAGTCAATCAAGATGAACTTCGCACAAGAATAGACATGCTTATAAAGCGTAAATTTGAAATTATGGTTCTTACTGGCAAGATTTCTCTGCAGAAAAGTTAATGATACTCGAATAATGAAATGCTTTACAAAACTCTTGCAGTTGGTTACCATGTTATAGCATATAATCACGTTGTTACTGGAAAAATAACTCCTAATGAGGTAAATAATAATATTGCCCACTTAATTTCGCGCTTTTTTTTATGAAGCTTGTATTAAAAAAATATATATATGAAATTCAATGCGAAAGACGAACGTTGTCGACATTTCTGGTAAAAAATCGAAGATCGAACAATTAACTCGGTTAACATATATTATTGAAGACATAAGCCAAAATCATGGATTGGTTTGTTATATCATTTGATTACGCAGTCTTTCTTCTCTCAATAAATCAATACTTATAATCTATTTCTTTGTTTTTTAAAAAAAGAGTTCAACAAATAGCGTACTTGCATCATATGACATTCTTGCAGTTCGTCCAACGAACGAAAAAACATTTACAAATGCTTGTAATACACTTGAAATAGACATTATATCACTTGAAATGGGATCACGATTACCATTTTATTTAAAGCATAGTATAGTGGGAACGGCTATCGAACGTGGCATATTCTTTGAAATCTCCTACGCCCCTGCTATAAGAGGTATGTTTTTTGCTATTACATTAAATTGTTAAATGTTCATGAATAGTATAGTTATACATAGTATCGGCCAAATCATTAGATTCCACATCTCGTCATCATCTAATATCGAACGCACAGAATCTAGTAAGAGTCTCACGTGGAAAAAACATAATTATTACAAGTGAAGCACAAAGGGCGATGGAATTACGTGGACCTTATAACATTGTAAATTTGTAAGTAAAGCATAATAAATAAAATTTTCAACGTTTCTAATTGAGTCGATTTTCAGAGGTACTATAATGGGTATGAATCAAGCCACAGCTAAAGAAAGCATAACAACAAATTGCAGAGCTGTAGTGATACATGCTGGTGAGTAACAAAGCCGTATAATTGTGCACAACAATCTATTATTGTCGCTAATTGAAGGAATGATTTTCAGCAACACGTCGAGATACCCATAAAGCCGTTGTTTCTTTTGAACCAATTACTTCATTAAAACCAAACGAGCTATGGAAAATTGGGAAAGATAAAAAATCACAGGCAATGGGTAAATCCAAAAAAGCAAAACGGATGAGACCTAATACTGATGATGAAGAATGAGTCAGAATCTTCCCAATTGCAAAACATGGACATGTGAAACAAAAGAAAATAACAAATAAATCAAATAAAATAAATTGAACTTATTTTATATTTATTTTTTCAGCATTGACATGGGCTTTGACACATCTTTCTTTATATTTACACCATTGAGTTAGCTACTTCACGTCATATAAAATTTGGATAGTAACGCCATATGTCACTACCGTAGGTCTTTTGATATTCTAATGTATGTAGTCTTGCAATAGATCGAATAAGAAAAATTATAAGTCAGAAAGATAAACTTTTAAAATCAATAAATTCAGAGTATTACGTGTTTGCTCAGAAAGTTATTCTAGCGATTTATTTGGTTTGTCTTCATTTTTTATCAGCCAGCCAAAGGAACAAATTTTTCATCATTCTGCATCATATATTTAATTTTGGTAAATAGACTTACTATGTACGATATAGTAAAAATTATGATCAATTGTAATTTGAGAAAAGTCTACAAAAAAAAACTATTATGTGATAGTAACAAGTGATGACAAGGATGGAACTTACATCCATTTTATAAGTTAATGGCCATAAAATATACTGCAGTCTTTATCCAATATTTCATAATAAAGAAATATGTACTATCGTATATTCAATTCATAATTTCAAAAATCTGACATTCTTTTTCATATAAAAATGCACTTTTATATTTAGTGACCAAAGATAATCTAGACTTTAGATTTAAATATATATTTTACCGAACTGGTAAGTTTAATGAGTTTAATATGGATTCATTAGCTCATCCCAAAGTGTTGCTAACTGGAAGACTGGGACGCTAGAACATCTTTTATCCTGACATAGATGACCGGCTTTGCTCCAGATGGAACTAGGCAACATTTTTCTTACTTCTCATCAAAATTGATTTGCATTCTTTAAATTTTGCCTTCTACTATACCAATTACTTTAGAAGTCTGTGAGGAGACTAGGGCAAAATCTACAGTCCGTGACCATTTGGACCGAGATATTTTTTTAGGACAATGCATTTTTTCTAATCCAAATCCAAGTGAATTTTGTAATAATTCTTTGCTTTCAAAACTCATTACGGTAAAAACTTTTACAATAATGACGTAGGAATAGTTACAGCTGAGGTTTCATTTTCATAATATTGCATAAGGAACGATCTCATTATAAGAGGAGCAGAAAATCTTAGATTATAGTTTTCATCAACGACATTGCCTTGTATTTGGTTTGGAGTACGTTTCACCCTTCGAAAGTCTTTTCTATTTGAATAACATTTTTCCTAATTATATGTCCCTAAGCTTGAATAATAAATTCTTCTATCGCTACTTTTTTATATGGAATATCTAAGTCAAATAATTCTCTCACACGACAAAAAGTGTGTGCTGGACAATTTAAGACGAGAACTTTGAGCTTCACTTCTAAAATATTGAAACAAACTTCACATTTTGTGTCTCATCAGAACTGACTTCTTGTGGCCCGGAATTTCAAGAAGGCATTCGAGATGGGTTATTATTAAAGCAAATAATGCTGTAACGTGCTGAGAAACAATTAATATTACGTATTTTTGTTTGCAACGCTATTCTGTTCCTTCGGACGATTTTGTTTCCATTTTCATCATCAATTTCAAATGAGAACGATTCAAGACTACTATTTGGTCAGGTGTTTTATGTTTTAATGATACTTTGTAAAGTATAGTTTTTTTAATATATATGTAGGTAAGATTTTATACTTTATCGTTATTGAGAATATAGGATGGATTTAATTAGCTTGATTAACTTGGCTTGGATCATGAAGTTATAGCCAAACCGTTTAGCAGCTATATGTAATTTAAGCTGTAGCTATTGATATGGCTTAAATTATAGCCAAGACATAGTTAAGCCAGATAAATTAAGCTATAGTCTAAGCTGTGGCTTAAGCTAGTTAAGCCATGGCTTTAGCAAATTTAAACTAAATATTAATTGTGGAACGAAATCATGAATCCACTTAGGTTAGCCCAAATGTAGTCCAAGTTGATACGAAATTTAAAAGCAACCTAAGTCGATTCCATATTTGATCAATAAATTCAATAGCAACTTAAGTTGATTTAATTCTGATAATCTTTTATTATTACTTATTTTATTTCACTTTTTCATAATTTGCAACTCTCTCTACCTGATGGCCGAATATTAAGATTATTCATTCAAAGAATTGCTTTCCAAATATTTTAGTAATGAGTGGGAAAATAGGCAATATAAAATCTTGCATGAAGACATTAAGGTTTTACAAGATTCAGCAAATACAACAATCGGGGATACGAAAAATCGTTATTTGGCAAAAATACATTTGCAATACGCGATTGAAATAGTATTCTTTCAAATGCTCATAAGCATTCGAAAAGCATCTATTATGCAATCCTCTTCACAAGTAGGTAATATTAAATGCAATTGCAAAAATGCATGAGAAAAAATCGTTATAAATGTAAAAAATAAATCTACCCTGTAGGAATAGTTGCTATTCCACTACCATAGATAAAAAACTTCGTGTCGTGCTTTTAAATTTAATTAATTTGCAATGCACTGTGTTATGAATAAATCCTATCTTAATTTAATATTTGATGAAATAATTTGGAATACACATAGTTTTGTTGTAAGTTGAATTGGAATTCTATAAGACTTGGGACATTTTAGAATTCTATTACAATCTATGTTTATTCAGAATCAACCTAAGTGGATTCTAGATCTACAATAATTCCATTCCGACGCACAACATATATAGATTATATAATAAAATAATACAGTAATGAATGATAGAATTAAAAGTTCGAAGTCCCATTTTCCCTTGGCAACACTTATATCTAGTAAGTTATTCTTCATACTGTATCTTCTCATGGAATAGGTTATTTTAGTACGTGCTTATATAATCGGTTGATTTATTTTTACTCATGTAACAATAACAAAAATGATGATATTAAACTATGTACATTATGCTCAAAGCTTTAGCCGCGAAAAATGGCTTCCGGTTTTTGGAATTCATAAAACCACGTGTTTAAAAATTGAAGCTGTAACTGAAGCCAATGATTTCAGTTATGACTGAAGCTATCCTTATTCTGGCTTAAGCCGTGATTTAAAAACCATAGCTTGGGTTATAGCTCAAGCTGTTAGTCAGCTTAGCTTTGTTAAATCTATGGCTAAAGCTGGCTTTTTGTAAAGTTAACAACATCCTAATGTACAGAAAGTCTAAAAAGGGCTTTAAGCTAGATAGTGTTAAATTTTATAATTGTACTAGTATAACCCGTCTCCAGATTTTATGATAAAAACATTTATAGATCCGAATAGTTTTCAGATCAATATATTTTCTTTATACTTGCGCACTAAATTAAAGCGACAAAATGAAATTAGTACGTATCAGTGGTGCCTTCTATGCTATAGGTACTTGTTTTGGATCATTGCATAGTTTATTTAGTACGTAACGTTCAACAGAGAAACATTTTTTTTTATAAATACAGAAATAAATATTAAATTTTTAGCTTCGAGTTTAGAAATTAAGTTTAGTTTAAATTGATGACATATTTATTTTGAATCAAGTGGTCTATAATATTAATTAGTGTTATCAAAATTTTGAAATGGGAATCTTTAAACATGCCTTTTTTATTAATTCTGAAATCCTAATACCCTAATATGTAGATTGAGCTAGCACGTACGTACGTACCTGTGCTGACAATTTGTGTATTACAAGTTACGTACCGCGCAAACTTTACTATTTTTAAAATTTGTTCATGCCAGTGCGGACCTTTCATTTTTGTAAACTACCTAATTTTGTTTCATTTGATTTGGTTCTGCACAAAAACCTTGTTAATAATTTGCTTATTCTATCAACAAACATCGTAACGATAGAATGATATCAGAAACGGAGTGAACGAGGTGTTGACTATGCGAATCAGGTTAGGAAAAGGAAGACTTATAGGTAAAATCGCATTTCGGCATTTTCTGTTTTGTATTTGTCTTTGCCGGTTAAATAAAGTCGTCGGATGATTCCGTAAGGTGCAAGCTTTAAACTAAATTAAGCTGATGAAACTGGTGACTATCTAAAATCTGATTGGCTATTTACTATACCAGTCAATCAGATTTTAGACAGTCACCAATTTCACCAGCAACTCTAGTCCGAAGTGTTCGACATTAAAACATTTTGAGAAACCTAGCATCCCAAATTAGTAAGTTTGGATCGCATCAAGAAAATTCAAAGTCACGATGCGAACCAAACTTATCCTGGGGGTACTAAAGCTAACAAGCCTTTAAACTAATCAATGGGGTACTTAAGTTGCTGAAAATCTCAAATTGGAATATTATAATCATGAAAAATACAAGCATATTTGAATTTAAAATTTTACTGGTTGTTTTGATGAATCATAATAGTATTAAAAATATAATTCATTAAGATTATTATACAAGCACATAGTTGATAGAATTGGAAGATGATCTTTCATCTGATTATGGAACACAAGTATGTTTGATGATGCCATTGTACAGTATATAAAATAATTTAATATCTTATTTTGTCTTTACAGTATAATATTCTGCTGGATTGTGCAATGTACAGTACATACAAGTACAATTATATTTTTTGTGAATAAAATCTATATAAGTGCAAACAAAATAAAGTTGTAGCCTCTTTTTAATAACTTAATAAATATTCTTTATACTTACTAACTGCAGTAGAGAGTATTTATAAAATAATAAATATAATTCATCGAGATGTGTGTAAAATATTCGTAAACAATCACATATACTATGACGTAAATCTTCATAATCATGAATACATTTTTATTATCGAATGGATTGCATTTTTATTTGAGATTCATATTTTTCTATAGGCATGATTCAACACATTCGTCTAACATAAGATTTAAGATTGGCATTAGAATTCATTGAATTCATCATTTTTCAAAATGTTTGATAAATATTCTTTTTAAATTTTTTTTGACACATAGAATAACAGTTTATGAAATAATCGATGGGTTTACGAATATAAACATTTTCTTTTTTAAAAGCCTATTATTTCTTCAAGTATATTTATATAGTGAGTATTTAAACGATAAATTTTTTAAAAAATTTGTGATCTGATTGGTTAATTACCAAAGGTCATCACTTTTGATTGGTTTATTTTTGTAGATCTACTCGTGATAATTAACTAATCAAATTACGTTATTTTAATATTCAATGTTTTGCAATATTACATATAAACAAGAGAATACCGTAATTTGCGGCAAATAGTATCCCTTATTAAAGTACCCGCCCACCGTCAATTGAGCGTCAATTTAGTCAAATTATATAGTCAATTGACGGTCCCAGGCTAGGTTAGCAAATGCCAATGGACAATATCCACTGACAATTTATTCAGAACCTATCATAGTCCATTGCCAACCCTGGTCCCAGGGGTAGATCAATTTTTAAGGCCTAGGAATGTAAGAGACCCGGGGTACTCTTTGCCACAAATTACGGTATGTGCAAAAGAAACAAAAATAACAAAATTTTATGCTGTATGACTACATGAAATGCGAGAAATAATATTTTTCACCAAAACCAAAGTACGTGATATGTTTTATTATCAAAAAATTCAAATATACCACCTACGATCAATAGAATCAAGAACATTACAAGAACCAAACAAACTCAAATATAACCCTGATTTTTTTATTGTAACAAATTTGCACCTACTATACCAAGCTAAATTGTTACATGTTTCTATCCGTAAAATGTGTAAATAGTTAAAAGAATATCTTGAATGCATCATAAAAATTTTGCTTTGATTAGTTCGGCCTTGAAATGTGTCACCCTGTGTTCTTTTGTAAGGTGTCAAAGAGGAATGATCTCTTGTTGAATTGTAACTTTAAAAATTATTTAATTCCCTAAATTAATTTGTGAAGATTTGATTTACAAAATCCAATAAGAGCTCGATCTATTAAATAGATATGATACAATCCCGAGTAATGAATTCAGTATAATAACGCACACAATCTTAATTTTTTATTTTAGACATAATACATACTATCGCCTACAGTGATAAGCAAAAGTTCATATAAAAGATAATAAAGAATAGTTAGAAAATAGATTAGCGTTTTCGGGCCCGAAATAAAAACTGAATCGAATTAAAATATTGAATCGAAAAAAAAAAAAAAACAAGTCGAATAAAAGATTCAATGATAAAACCTAATCGAATAAACATATTAAATCATATCGATATGTAAAATTGTGTGGTATTATTAGAGATGGGTTTCATGCGTCCTCAATCGTGCGCATTAATGCGCATGATTCGGAATCATGCGCATTTTATCCCATCTAAATTTTATATAGGAAAATTAAAGTATATTTAATTTAGGCCAAGGTGTATAATGCCAGGCAAAATTAAGAAATAGGAATGCAGAAGTTTCGAAAAATTCCGAAAAGAAAATGAATGAACACAAAGATGAGAAGGGTCGGAAAAAACTTTGGCAAATATCCGAGGAAAAATATAAATCAAAAAAAATTATATCATGCGATATCATGCGCATTCATTATAAAATGTGCATTTTTCCATCTCTAGGTATTATAGTTATCATTGAGTCAGGGTTTGACATTTTAGTCATATCCATCTTTATACGACCATGATATGAGTGTCGCCAAAAGAAAACCCGACAATTTAAATATAGTCTATATTTAAATTGTCGGATTTTCTTTTGGTGACACAACATATAGCAAACTGAAAAACTACTAAATGTCTGGTCACCGCATATGAATAAAAACTCATAAAAAGGGCTTTTCATAAAAAAAAATAAACAAAAATAAACAAAATCAAAAGTTCATAAGCAAGAGCCTTAAAGGTTCTGAAAACTGAAGGTCCGTCATCATACATAATGGAATAGGAACTAAAGATGCCGGTGAAGATAATTTTGTTATCTTTAAAGGCTCTGAAAACTGATGATCCATCATCCAAACCCTAAAGATACACCGGAACCCGGAACACTACTTCAGTACTAATTTAGGTACATTTTTCTACACAACCAACAAATAGAACCGGTTTTAAAATAACTTTTAAAAAAATTTTGGATTAATTTTTATTAATAATTAACATAGGTTATTAAAAAAAAACCGGTTTTATTACAGAGCTAGTCTAGAGCCACAGTTTTAAAAAAAAATATGGTATATTTTGTTAGTTGTGTAGAAAAATGTACCTAAATTAGTACAAATTTATATATAAATTTATAGGTGAAATAACCCTTTAAAAAATCCGAACTTAATGACCCTAACTATGTTTTGATTAGTTAGTTTATTGAACACCCTAGCGTGGCAGGGGCACATGAGGAAATATAAAAACTCTTAAACGGCGTATTAGGAGAAGACATAATAATTACGGAGTTCTACCATTAGTGCTCAAGTGGGACCGCGACAATTATTGGCTTATTTTTGTCGATCATCATGTGATAGTAAAAATTACATATTAATTTTTCTGGCGAATGTTTAACCGGTTACATAGTTTATACGTTATAATTACGCGATCCGTTGTTTATCAACTACTGTTTTAAATACTCGTTGCAAGACTCTATGGCCGAAACCGAGGATTACTTGCAAATTACTTCACCAGCCTTAACGGATTCGCTGATTGGTGTATTTCATGTGAGAGATTCGAAAATAACAAAATGAAGATTTATTATATCAAAAAAGGATTAGAGAAAATAATCGACAACACTACAATTGGGGAGGATATACGGCAAAAGGCATTTGGTTTACATGAAAATTTTCAGGTTACGTATTATGAATAGATGAATTTGCTTAGGATAAGATCGTATAATCATGAAATAACTATCCGTTGTTTCTGTTAATACAAATCTGAAGAGGTGATAGGGATGTTGGACTGAGCCAGGGGACTATTCGTCAACTGGAAGATTGACTATTCGTCTGTCCTTCTCTCTGGCCCCTGTGACACACAGGAAAACTATTCGTTGTCTTGTGTTGAACTATTCGTTCGTCATGGCCTTATGTACTTTTTAGAGAATGGGTTTATGTATTATCGTGGAAAAGGCTTAAATTATTTTTTACTATTTATATTCTTTTGTTCATATAAAAGAGCTGGAAGTCTTCAAAAGTTACAACAGAATACTTTCAGCAATCTGCAAATCGTTATCAAACAGAACAACAACTAGAACTTATTGAAAATAAGAAAGCTATTGAGTTGGCAACAATGGAACGTATCAAGGTACTTATTCATTTTTCCATACTTTCAATATTTTCTTACAATGTTATTTCAACCATATCCATATATTGACGTTATAGGTTACCCAAACTCGAAACCACGTGGAATCGACGATGGAGGTCCATTGTCAAATAACCGAAAATATTGTAGAATTTAGTCAAAAACAAAATATGTTCAGTAAAAATATCACACTAGAAAGTGAAGAAAAACAAGATGATAACAGGAAACGTAGCGGTTATGACTTGTATGAGGAGAAATCCAAAAGGGTAGAAATTCAAAGTTTATCATTACCTCAAACGTTAATTTATTAATAGAATTTACAATAATGCCGAGAAAGAAAAGCCAATCAAGTTTGATTTAGAAAAATTCGAAGAAGAATACTTGAAAATGAAACCCGAACACTAAATAGTGGACGTAGAGTAGAAGAGGTTATATATGAATTTGCACGAAAGTTGGAATTCGCTTATTTACACTCATTTATAGTTAATGAAAGCGATGCGCACACAAAACCTCTTTTTTCTAAAGAGGAATGGAAAGAAATTAACACCTCAGAAGTTGAAGATAGGTTAGAACTTGAATATTCTCTTAAGGAATTATTAAAAAAATACACAGTTGATGATGTTGAAAAACTACGAGAAATTCTTTTTTGAACCATTCATTCCAAATGGATGTAAATATGATCGAAAATTTCACTTTGATCTTGATTTCGTTAATCGTGTTTACCGAGGAATGCTACCCTTATGGGAAGTAAATGAAAATCCTTTTAACTCTTTGAAATTGGAAGGTTGGTACGAGATGAATATTTGGAGTCATCTTATCGATCCTGCCTTCTACAATGTGAACATCGATTTAATTCGTGGCGAAGGGATGAGTCTTGCATCGAGCGATAGGAAAAACGTTGAAAGAACGACAGGTGATAGATAGAAGGTTGGTCGAAAAGGAGATGGAGTTTTTAGATTACATAAGGATCGTTTAGAATTCAGTGCTATAGAGGCTAGACACGAATGGGAAGGACAGAGTGGGACAAAATATATTACGGATTCGTTAAAGATATGAAAAATGTTAAAAGACATGTTAAACCAGCTTGCAATTGAGTGTAACATGAAAGAAAACCATATGAGAAAATTACGTGTAGTATGGATGCTTCAGAGCACGAATAGAATGCAGGTGTTTATTTTAACGGATAGATCCATAATAAATATCGGATTAAGGATAAGAATTATACGGATCCTTATCCTAGATATATATAATCTGAATTACTGTAAAATTCGAATGCTACTGTAATTCACCGACAAGTTCACTTCACCAACAGTTTACTTTACCAACAGCTCATTTCGCTGACAAGTTTTTTTTATAAATTACACTAACCTTAACTCTAATTCTAACCTGACAATAACCAGAATTACTTTGTGAAATGAGCTGTCAGTGAAATAAACTGTCGGTGAATTGAGCTGTCAGTGAATTATAGCTGTTTTCATAAATCCTGGAACAACTCTGATGGCCGAATCGATAAGTTACCGAGCTGGAATTACAGCTGTTTTCATAAATTCTGGAACAAATGAAAAAATTACCGATGACCGAATCGATAAGTTACCGAGCTGGAATTACGGCTGTTTTCATAAATTCTGGAACAAATGAAAAAATTACCGATGACCGAATCGATAAGTTACCGAATCGGCTGAACTCAGAAACTTAACGATTCGGTCATCGGCAATTTTTTCATATGTTCCAGAATTTATGAAAACAGCAGTAATAAGTTACTGACGTCGGCCGACATCAAAAACTTATCGATTCGGTCATAGGCAATGTTTCAAGTGTTTCGGAATTTATGAAAACAACTGTAATCAAATACTGTAAAGAAGATACAAATTTAATCCGAATAGTCTTTTAAGAATAGGATTAAAACACTACGTATTAGATGTTTAACTACTAGGATTTCCATTATTGAATCCGAATTTGCTAATCTGAATTAAAATTCAAATAAACTGGATATGTTGAAGAAGATCCGAATTTAATCCAAATGGCCTTTTGAAAATGGATCAAAACACTAGTAAAAATAAAAATCGATCACATATAATTGAGCTGTTAAAGTCACATATAATAGGCCATTTGTTTATAGATCTAAACTTTTTGGTGCCTTATTAACGAACTCTTTAATTTTAGTATTCTTTGGGGGAGGACAATCTCAATTTTTTTGTCATACTATACCTCAAGAAGGAAGATTCCACTATCTTGATATATACATCTTTTGCTTGTCATGGTTAGCAATATTTTCGAGTTTTTTAATATTCTTATACTAGGCTAACATTCATAGGTATTACTATGTTCAGCTGAAATGCCAGTGCAATTTGCTAATAACCAATTTCGCAAATATCTTAATAATCTTTAGAAGCATAATAATTATAAACATATCTTTACTAATTCACGCACCAATTTTTAGATCACAACAGAATATAAAAGAAAACTCAACAGTATCTACACCCAGTGTTATACATGGACATATATTCAAGCAAATTATTGGACATGGATAGTCCATGGACACAATGTCCAATGTCCATGTTCATGGATATGTCTATATTTTTATATGTTCATGAATATAAACATCAATATTTTTGTATGTCCATGTCCATGAATGCCTATGTTCATGGACAGTTTTGTTCATGTTCATATCTATTGACAACACTATCTACATCTAGTCGAAATGATTAGATTTTGTATTATATCTTGTATTTTTTTTTCCATATAAATAAAGCTAGCCCAGGTGGCTTGATTTCAGTGCATACATAATCATGTTTATTTTTGCATGTGTATTTTTTATTGTTACTTGTTACTTGAAAAAAATTATATAAATGAAAATTACATTGTAAAAAATTACATAAAAATAGAGAGCCCACTGGACACCCTTCTTTATTTAATAAAAAAAATGTTGACAGAACAATATAAGAAAATTACATAATAAAACAACAACTCTTCTCGACAATCACTTGTACCAAATTTTTCATAAACAAAAATTTCTAAAAAAACTTATTTATAGTTATAAATATGTGAAGAAAAGGCAGATATTTACAAGTCGGCACCTGTTATTTAGAGATAGTTCTCATATGCTATCTGCTAACTGGTTTAGAGTTTATCACTCACCACAGGAACGGCACTTGTCATTTAGAAATAGTTCTCATATGCTACTTGCCGACAAGCTCAGAGTTTATTACTTATTGGTGCAAAAAGCTATCTTTACTCCTCTCCCCCTCAAGTTAGGGTATATACTTTAGGTTGAAGAAAATAAACACTCTTTAAGAAAAGGTTCAAGTGACTCTTCTATTACCTCTGCTTCCCTGCCATTTTTCAAAATTTTTGATAAAAAGTGGAGATTTGGTTTACCCTCTCCAAAAGATCAGCATTGTTTACTTTTCAAATTCAGATGAGTATGGTAGATTGCAACCACATGTCTTGTTTACTTTATGAATATGGCGCTACTTTATGTGACCAGGATCAGGGTCTCTGGCTAAAATATCCAAGAATAGTCAAAAAGAAAAATATATGTTAAGGCGAAGCTTTACAACAGAGATATACAAACGTTGTATTTGTTATAGAACTTTTTTTAAGCTTGACACAGGCTATAACAGTGTATCTTTAATAGCCTGAAGTTTTTTAGTAGGAGTATTTTCTAGTCTTTCAGTCTTTTTTTTTTAGTTTCGGTTCTTTACATTAGACTAGTCTTCTTGCTCATCATATAGTTTTTGTTTTTCTTATCTATTGTTTTATATCAATTATTTTTTTTCTTTTTTTTTATATTACTTATTTTCTTGGCTTTTGTTTTACCCCTCTCCTTATCTTACTCTTAGTAAATTCCTTGCAATTTAAAGAAATACAAAAGAGAGAGAAAACTATTATGGTGAGCAATTAGGCTAGTTTAACATAAGCCTTCTAATTATAAAATTTTATATTAGTGTAGTAGGTTGCATTTGGGTGTCTATAAGATAGTCAGATCTTTAAAGAAAGCCAGGTGATGTCAGACTTGCAAATTAGGAGTAAACAAATATATTTTAAATATATTTTGAATCTTAATAAAGTACTAACGAAGCTGCCTAAGAGTTAAAAATATATATATATATATAAGAAAATTAAAAAATTATATATTAATAGAGGTTTATATTTGATTCAAAATTTCCTAGACTACTCATACAGGGAGATCCCAAAATTCTAAGTCAGATGCATCAGAAACATGGTTGGATAGGCCAGAATTAATCAATTTTGCCCAAGATCACTAAGAATTTTACTATTGAAACAATAGTTGTTCATAAAGCAAAAAATGCCTAGCTAATAATTTTACTATAGCTCTTGCTAACTCTAACACCAACTCTAACCCTGATGCATTATAGTTATTATGATCTAGATCTCCTGTAAAAAATACTTTAGAAGGATTATCATTATCTATATAGTGTTGTATATGTTCTGAAGTAATAAAATAAAGAGGATTTGTTTCAAGAATATCTTCTTTAGAATCATAGTCTAGATCATCTAAATTAATACAATTTTTTTAGTTTTACTAAAAGTTACACTAACATAATTAATTGCTTTTAACTTTAGCAGGATTTTATTTACCAAAACTGTTTTTTCTATTTCTATGTTGATGATTGGGATTAAATATTCTTTGGCTAAATCTTGGGTGGTGTTGAAGTGACAGGGCTAGGGTACCTGGCATAGCATTTATTAGCATACCACTATAGCATACCAATTGAGACATACCTATAGCATGCCAAAATCTCAAATAGATATAAGGCATGCCACTTATATAGAGTGCTTTATATCAAGAAAATTATAGGCTAAAATTATTTTTAATTCTAAAATTCTTGGTTCAGATTCAATAAAATTACAGGATCTTGTATATATATATAAAATATAAGAAATTGTAAATATATATATATATAAGTTCACGTGTGGCTATATGTACCCTTACTGTAATTGAAAAACATAACTATCTAATAAAACGTTCCCCAGCCAAAGAGGTCACTTTAATACCGGAAAAAAAATAAATAAATAAATATTTCCTATTATCTAATATTCTTTAAATCATTTCATTAACCCACAAGTATAAAGAACATTTATTAATTAGTGAAATTAAGAAAAAAATTAAAAATAGCAAAAATACTTAATTTCTATTAATTAAACGTGAGAATATAAAGAACATTATCAATTGATAGAATTAAATCAAAAAAACAAGTTCACATACCAAGAACAATTTCATTCTGCTTGGGATATAGAAGAACTTGCATACTATGATAATTAACCAATGATTCAATTAAAAGTAGTGCTTAGCAAAATCAAACAAAAACTCGATTTTCGAGTTTTTAAAAAAGTTGAGCATCTATTAGTTATACAAATCAGGATTTAAATTAAATTTATTTTTAAAACTAATATCTATTTTAAATTTTATATTCGATATAATTTAAATCCTGATTTGTGTAACTAATAAATGCTCAACTTTTTCAAAAACTTGAAAATCAAGTTTTTGTTTGATTTTGCCAAGCACTAATTAAAAATAAAAAAGTTTGTTCTTTTAAAATTTATATAACAACCCAATTTATACTCTAATAAAAAGTTTTTCTTGTCTTATAATATCAATTCTTTTATAAGAGGCCTGATGTAAACTAGGTGATTTTCATCTCATAAAAGGTTACTCCCACCTAGTGTTGACATAGGACAATTTTGGACAATTTTAGACATTTTTTTAAATTAAAATTACTCAAAATTTTATTAAGATAATCTATCTTAATTTTTTCACCAATAAGTTCAGTATCTAAAAAAAATATATAATTATATATTTTTTTAAATTACTTTATTAATTAGTTAAACATGGGACATAGGCTTGGACGATTTTAGACAATCTTGAACATTGGACATTTTACATAGTGTGGACACGTCCCATGTACAACACTGCCCCACCTACCCACACCTAGGGTTCCAATTTGGATTGGTAATTCAAACCCGTGACTCATCGGTTAACACTTTTTATTAACCGGAAACCCGAAATCAAAACCGGTTACCTAATTAAACCGAATAATACAGTTATCTGATTAGACCAGGTAATATGGTTATCTGATTATATCAGATGACACAATTTCCTGATTAAACTAGGTGACAATTTTGGAAGTTTACAATAATAATTTCTAACTCCTAGCCAATACAAAGCTTGGATTTAAATTAGTTTACACAATTGCAATCACTATTACAATCATTTGATAAAATTAATTAACCATCAGAGGTTATATACTTCGCAAGTGCAATAAATTTAAATTAAACGGATAATTTTATATTTTAGGATTAGAGGGTCAGGTTAGAGGTTAGTTTTAGGGTAGAGTTTATAATAAATAAGTACAGTATAAGTGGGTTCTAGAGGGTTAAATAGAAACGCTCATTTATTTCAATCCAATTTCATTATGATCCGTGACATTAATTGATAGCTTAGATAATTAATAAATTCATTCAATTGAAGGTTTGGAACAATTTTATCTACCTATCGCTTGTTTAAAAATTCTTATTGCTATTATAATTAAAATATTTAAACAAGTTTCTTTTTTTTTATAGCTATCACAACAATTAATACGATTATTTTATTTCATTAATAATTCTATTCTACATTGATGATTCTATTCTATATTTATGATTTTCAAAATATTTTATAATGCTGCTATTATTAAATTCATATTTTATAGTTGCTATTTTTTTTGCAATACTATCCAATCTCAATTGCTTTTGGCTATATATTTCCATATTATTTAAAATAGAACGGAGATAATAAATTTGTCTAATTGATAACCTAACCTTTATAATATTTCATCAAATCATAATGTACATAAGACCTATTAAACTAAATCGCTTATTAAAAATTTTTTAAAAACAAAATTACTAAAATAATATAAATAAATCCCTTACATGTATCTTATAGTTTATCTGGCTTAAAAATAGAAAAATGTTGCATATTACGCTTAAGAAAGATCATTTGTTTAACTATATCAGGCTAAAGCCTATTATGCAATGCTGTTACATATAAGCCTGTGTCTGGGAATAAATGCTCAGAAGGGACTGGTGTAGCTGGAATTGATAAATATTTCTGGGCCAAATTTGATAAAATAGAATAGTTTTTTAAATTGTTTTGCTACCACACCAAAGGATCACATAGTCTTTTTTGTATAGGTTCATGAAGATAATGAGTGACCTCAGACTTTTCATCAATTTCGTCTGATTCTTCAATACTATACAAATCTGAAACCAAATCATTAGTCATTGTAGAGTTCATATTAGATAATTCAGAATTTTTTGTAGTATTTTCAGCTAAAAGGCAGTGATGCTCTTTCTTATTACAAAGTTCTTGTACCATGCTAATTATAGATTGTTGTATGCTTTCATTATTAATAAACTTTAGATTTTTTATTTGTGGGTCCAAAAATGACACGATAAGTGCAGCTTTTTCAGGAATATCCCAATACTCTTTAAGAGAAAAATAGCTTGCTGCTTTGACCAGGTCATATAATTCTTCAGCAGTAATAGTAGTAATAGGTGGTTCTATTAAATGACGATCTTTAAAGCAAGAATCATTATTATTTTTTTTATAAATGCTTTTTGGATTTTTTATGATTTTTTTTTTTTTTTGTCCTTGTAATACATGTAATAGTTTTTGAAGTTGCTCTGAAATTGCTGATATCTTATTCTCAAAATCTATATTAGGTTCATCAAAATCTTTATTATCAGTTATTAACTGATTTTGATCATCTATTTGTTCTTTAGGTCCAAACAATAAATCGGCATAGTCATCTTTGGTTTGCCTGTCTGAAGGTGCAAACTTTTTGATAAGTAGTCTCATTGTAGGGTAAATTATATTAAATGTAGGATAATTTGAACCAGAGAATACAGTAGTAGCTTTATAAAATGGTTTTAGTAATAGAATAAGTTTATTCAACAATTGCTATTCATTTTCGGTTAAGTTTATTAGCTTTAAATATTCACCATCAAGTCGATCACATCGTTCTGGTTTAGATGGTAATATAATAATAAGATAATCTATTGCTTTTCTTAACTCCTTAAGTTAGATCCAAGCCAAATATGAAGATTTCCACCTCGTAGATACATCATTAGTTATTTTGTAAATTGGTTGATATCGACATTGTTCTTGTGTATCTTTGAGATGTTCAGTTTGTTTGGGGCTTTGAGAAAAAAAAAAATTAAGTTTTTTGCTCGTTTAATTAGTTGTGCTGCAGGCTTGAGACCTTTTAATACACTTAATTGAAGTGTATGAGCTGAGCAAGCTGATCGTACAACATTATTCATTAAATTGATCGCCTTCTTAATATTCGCACCATTATTAGTCATGATGCAAAAAACATTTTCAGTTAGCCCCCATTCGGTGATAACTTTTTCAAGTGAATTTTTAATATTCTCAGCTATATGCAGTGAAGGAAGTGGTTGAATTATTAATAAGGCCTCCTTTAGTACAAAATTTGAACAGATCCAAGTTGCTGTTATGCTAATATACTCTTTATTTGTTCTCGAACTCCATAATCTGTCATTAAGTTGACAAACCCACCATTTACAACTATATCAAATAATTGTTCGTGACTCCAATCATAAGCTTGATTAATCTTTTTTTTAATACTTAATTCACAGGGAATTTTAAATCCAGGTTTCATATCATTTAAAAACTGACGAAAAGCTCCACAACATAAAATATTTAGAGATTGGCAGTCTTTAATAATAAATTTCACCAACTTTTGTGTAAGTTTTTCTTGATATCGCTTAGTGATAATATGCATAGCTTTAATGATTGGTCTAGTACTTGTTCTATCGGGATGATCTTTATCTATTTGATGCTTGGTCCAAAGATGACCAAGCATATTTTCCGTTGATGAGTCATGTGTATATTTGACTAATATGTTTTTCTCTTTGCAGAGTTGGCAAACATCAAAAAGTCTATTATTTGTTTTTTCAGGTTTGAAATAGTCCCATACAATACTTTGATTGCTTATTTTTCATTTTTTTGTTGGTTCTTTTTCAAGTGATTCTTTGGCTTGAGATTGTTCATTCCTAAAATGTTTATCATTTATTGGTAGTTCTTCACCTTCAGGCAATTCTCCATAAACTGAAGAGAGCATAACATATAATCAGACATAATTATCTACTATTTGGTTCTTTTAAGTTGATCTTTAAAAATATATTTTACTTTAATGCTGTAATTACAATTTGCTAAAAACATGCTAATTTAAAACTATTATACTATACCTGTACTTTTAGATTTCTGTTATTACACACTTGTGTGTTTTTTCACAACAACTTGTGGGCAACAACTTGTAAGTAATAGTTGTAGGTGGGCAACAACTTGTTTGGTGATAGCTTGTGGGTGACAACTTGTAAATAGCAACAACTTGTGATCAGCAATAACTAGTAAACAACAGCTAATATGAAGGTTGGTGGCTGCTAGTGGACAACAAGTTTGTATAATAACATTTAATATAAGATACAAAACATGCTTCTTAACTTGTGTTCTTAGCAAACTAAGAAAATAGTACAAGTTTTAAAAAAATTTTTGCTCACGATTTAGCTTTCAATGATTGATAACGATAATAGATCCTTTTATATATCTACTACTAATCGGGTATATTGACTTGAGCATTACAATTATATATATGTTAGACATTGTCTTTATGCATTATTTTATATATAATTTCTATCGCTTCTCAAGTGTCTAAATCAATTGATCAGATTAATAATCGTGATGACGCTCAAGCATCATGATTGATGACGATATTTATAGAATTAAATATTCACCAGTTAAAAATTTGTATGAAATTAATTGTTTATTATATTTGATATGTAAAAAATATAAAAGTAATGATTGAGCGACCTTTATCAATAGTATATTTTTGAAGAAAAAGGTGGCTGATTTATTCAATTCCCAACTAATTAAAATTTTATATCCGATCTATTGTGAAAACACCCTTAATTATCGATTATCTATAACTGGATACCTGGATCAACTATATGCCTGTATTTATCTGTTTACCAACTAGTCATCCATATATTGAAATGAAAACCAGTCTTATTAAAATATGAACCAGTTGATAGTTTTTCGAATCGGGTCACCGGTTAAATGGTTATTCGGGTGAAAAGTTGGAACCCTACCCACACCTAATATCTTATTAGCCAATCAAATTGCACAAAAAATTTATATATTAATTAATAAAAAATTTTAATATTATATAACTTTTGATCTATTAAACCAATTTGGATGATTTAACTACCAAAATAATTCTCTTAATAAGACAATTCTAACAAGCCTAAACTCATCAAAATTCGATTACTAAATTCTGAGATTGGTATAGATTTGTATACTATATATATACTATATATTACTATATAAGAACCTCCACAGCAAAAGGTGACAATAAGGCCATACAAACTTAATAATTCGGTTTTCATAACATAAAATTTTAAAAGTGACCCGGCAACCCGGCTTTTAA